AGGTTCAGATCATCATACGGATAAAATTCAGAGTTTAGATAAAATTTCACATTGGTTAATTTATAGGTGTCGAAATAAGTTTTATGCTGTTATGTATATTTTTTTTATCAATTTGTAGACCAAAGATATCATGATTTTTCCAGCTAAGTCGTAGTCTTGATGGCCCAGGAATACTTCGTTTGATTCGGCAATAGAAGGTACAATCTCACGGAAACTCATACTCAAATATCATCCACTCTCTAAAGCGCGCAACATAGATAGTTTATTAATTTCGTTTAACGCAACGTGAAGCATTCGCCACTCTACTTTGAATAATTCAAGCATCGGCTCTGTTGTTGGATTTCTCACTATGTAATTGTTACCGTTACGCGGTCGTATCAAAATTAATTCGTGACGAGCGTTAATTACCAAACGTTTGTAATCCTCAAAAGCGGTAAAAATTAAAGTATCCATCATCTGTCATTAGGCTTTTCGCGATATCACTAAAATCGATAAATCCAACATTTATGCAAACTATATACGATTTCATTAACAAGAAAACGTTACATAATCTTTCATAAGACTAGTTATTCCAATGTTTCTGCTGCGATCAATCTCTGCGATCTCTATATCATTGAATTCAAATCAAATTTTATCGAACATGAACGTTACACAATTATATCCAAGATTTAGTTGCTTTTGTATATTTTTTTCCTTTGAAATCAACCTTCGACGTAGAGAATGCTTTCACACGGTAACGTGTATAAATATTGCTGTTGTATCCTTATCTCATCGCTATGTCCAAATGTCGTGTTGATATACGTCGAATTGTACGTGTGAAATTATTTGACGATGCGATCAAAAATTGATTCGCCTCCAATATTAAATATATATAAAAATATCAACCATCTCAGATAATTCGTACAACAAAGCTCAATGATTGTAAAAATTTAACGTTCGATGCAGTGAGTTCTTTTCTACTGAACACTCGAATACTTTTGATCGCTGTCGTCTCTTTGGCAAAAATTATGTCCCCTATCTTTTTTGCCTGCTCGTTCAGAACAAGCATCTCACGTTATCGTTGTCGTTTCCATACATGCAATCTAATGATGATTTCTTCTTCACGAAAATCGAGCAATCATCTTGATCCACAACGCAAATCGTCAGATTTGTAATGCTCCGTACCATGATCAGATGGTAAATGATCTGTGTCGGTCATTCCGATATCTTATATCCTGGTGACACGTTCGATGAAAATTCATATGAACAGACTTATCGTTGCTATATGCGCCCGTCACGTTGTTCAATGATATTTACAAATGATATTTACGTTGATGATATTATCGATCGTCCGATTCGTGCCACTGTTGCAGCTCCAGCACGCATTCGATGAAAATCCCAACAGCGATCCAATATTGTGAAGTTTGATGAAATTTACTCGATAAGCGCATTTGATCTCACTCTTCATTGTTATTGATGATGAATAATCAATGTATACTGGTACTGTTCATCCTCTTTGCGAAGCGTTCATCCTCTTCTCTCTCGCAACATCATTAGGATAAAATTGTAGAATTGCACATCTTAGACATTTGTTCATGTCACGTATTTTGTACGATCCTTCGGAAATGACAATTTCTTTCATCATCTTCGTCATCTTCGTCAAAGTAAAACTTACTCAATGAATTTACATTAGATATTGTATGGTAGGTTTCAAAGTTCATCAAATCGAGTTTATAATTGCCATCGCTCAAATCGGTCAGAAAGTAGCAAGCCACGAGGACACTACTCTTACCAGTGAGCGTAAATGTCACATGACATGTTTAAATGAATACTGAGTTGAAAGAGCAATGTCAATTCTTAAACTGATCTTAGACTGATATCAACCGTCTGTAAAAACTGTAGACACAGTTGTCCACAATTGCTTTGATCGTAATGTTGATAAGGCATGCGATTATACTCGATTTGCGTTACGTCCAAATATCGCATCAATTCCTTCGGTTGAAAATTGCCAAAATTATCAAAGTAAACAACATAATTTTCCCGCTACGCCACCCAATGAGTACCTAGTCCATCAGCATTATTCAAAATTGCTAGTTGTTGCAGTTGCACGTTAGTAGTTACCCTTCGGCATTTTTGGAAACTGTTTAACGATTTTTTTTAAAATCTTTTTTATTATTTTATGTTGGGATTCCTCATTCACGCTTATATAGAGCGAGATAAACTCCATTATCTTCCATGATGCGTTTCAAATCTTCCAACTGACGTTGCGCGGCTTTATTATCGTTTATACACAGTTTTCGCGATTCCTGCCGCGCCGCTGATCAACGAGCTGAAGATTCCCAATAGCAGTATAATAGGTAAGATGTCTCCGCGTTTTGCTACCGATAATATTTGTTTAATTTTTCGTCGGCTTTTTCTTCTTCGTTTTCATGCCATACCAATTTTCGTTTTGGCTTTTATAGTCGCAAACAGCTGTGGCAGCCACTCTCTCTCCAAAAGTCGAATCTTTCTTTGTGATAATCTGTTTTCGCGCTTCTTCAGCGAGTATTTTGTTAGCTATATATCGTTAGCTATTAGATGTACAACTTTGCTTCCGCCATTTTCCTATAAATGGCTTTAGCGGTAAGTGGTGGTCGAAATAAATAGATCATAGACGTCATACAATAAACTTGGGCATCTGTCAACATAACCCCATAGAAACATTAGTCGATTTGTATCTGCATCATAAAGTTATTCTCGATTGAAAATGTCAGTTTACGAGCCAAATTCTCGTCATTTGCGGGAGGTTTTAATTTTTTGCTTCAATATGAAGAAATCTGAGGCTCATCGAATGCTCTCAAATACTTATGATGAGGCCGCTATTAGTGAAAGAACGTGTCATGACTGATTTCAACGCTTCAAGAACGATAATTTTGACGTCCAAGGTCATGCTCTGTATTTGATGGGACCAGCTCGGCGTAGTGTATTATGAACTGTTAAAACCGATTGAAACAATCACAGGCGATCGGTATCGAACGCAATTGATGCGTTTGAGCCGAGCATTGAAAGACAAACGGCCGCAATACAACGAGAGACACGATAAAGTGATTTGCAGCATGACAATGCTCGACCCCATGTTGCGAAAGTGGTCAAGACATACTTGGAAACGTTGAAATGGGAAGTCCTACCCACCTGCCGTATTCTCCAGACGTTGCTCCCTCTGACTATCACTTGTTTCGATCAATGGCACACGGCCTGGCTGACCAGCACTTCCGGTCTTATGAAGAAGTAAAAAATTGGATCGATTCGTGGATAGCCTCAAAAGATGACCACTTTTTTCGACGCGGGATTCGTACGCTACCTGAAAGATGGGAGAAAGTAGTGGCCAGCGATGGACAATACTTTGAATCATAAATGTATAACCAATTTTTTACAATAAAGCCTTGAATTTCGGAAAAAAACGGAAGCGAAGTTGTATAACTAATACTATACATATATAATAATAACAAAAATGATGAGAAAACATTTTGAAAATTTTTGTTTTTAAAGCAGGAATCTATTTTAAAGCAATGAATTTTTTTCTGCAATATATAGAAAAGAGACGTTATTTTTTAAAACTATTTTTGTACTTAATAACTTTTTAACAAATGGCTACTGCCGGCTAAAACTTGTTGGAGGTTACTCAAGGTCATGACTTTGACTACTATATCAAGGTCAAGATCATAGGCGAGGTTTAACCTTTCGCAATAATTACCCTGTTTTTTAAAGTTAATCAGAAATCATCCCCTTATAGCAAGAAGGTTCTATGTTTAAAATGTTGACATTATCCTATTTAAAATTATTTAATTCATTTCAATATGATGGCAAGAAGTAACAAATTTGTCAGTAGATTTATTAATATCAGAAGATTTTTTTATTTTTGTAATTCATTGCCTTTTCGTTTGTTCAACGCAAATCGCTTCACAGTCTTGGCAGCTAATGTTATACACATCACATTTATTCATTTTTAAGAGATCTTTTTCCTGTTTTTATGAAAGTATTAAGCGAATTTATTGATTTATATATCAGATGAAAACCAAAATTACAATTTTAAATTTCTCTGAGACAAACGTAAACGTATGAAATCATGAAATAATTTCTTGGAACAACATTGTTTGACTTACGTCTATGGAATCACTTTTAAGAGTTATCCTTGAATGAATGAGCTATCCTTTTTATTTAATTATAATAATTGAAGATAAAATATTATTTATTTGATCCATATTTCTCTTTGTTTGATTTCGAGGTATAAATTTTATATTTTTTGAGATAAAAAATACGTATTCAGTTCAGAGATATAGCGTGACAAAATTGCAGGGTTTCACATATCTGATTAGGCCGAGAAAGTAACCAAAAATAAGTTCGGTTTTCTAAGATTAATCTTTGGCATCGACCTTAACTCTAATTAGTTTTGAATTTATTGTTTGTGTTTATTTTTATTTATTATTTTTATAAGAAATTTAATTTAACTATATCTCCTAAATTAATGCTGTTCCCTACTTAATTCTTGTGTGGACATTGTCCCCTATAACATCTAAAAGACTGAAAGATTGAAATTAGTGAAGCGTCGCCTAAAAAAACATTAAAAATTCTTTTAAAATTCTTTTTGTCTGAAAAATGTGAGACTTTTTGTTACGTATACATTTTATACAACATGGCTGAGGACGACTTAAAAAGCTAAAATATCTGATCATTTTAATTGTATATTATTTTAAATTTGGTTACAAACAATTGTAACTTGCGTTTACAGTGCTTTCATTCTTATAGTAAATACAATAAATATGTATAATAAAATATTTTTAAATTTTTTTATATTATAAATGTTAATCTATTAGTTATTTAAACGATATGTTCATTAAATATATTTTGCAAAAAGTTAAAAAGATTTGATATATTATTTTTATATTTTAGATTTATATTTTATATTTTAGATAGTGTATTTTAAATTATTATTTTATACTGTATAATAAAAAAATTAAGTAATGATATAATTCTTTTTACAGATCAGTGGGTGGAATACGCGCATCTTTATATAATGCAATCACGGAAGAAGAAGCGGAAACATTGGCCAACTATATGAAGTGGTTTTACGACAAACATTGCAAAAAAGTTGAAAAATAATTGAAAATTGACAAAAATTTAAAAATATCTTGAACTTATTATTAAGAAGTGTTATTTGTATGCATTTGCATTGAATTTTTAAATATATTTTTCATATATAAAGCGTATTGGATTTGTCTACATATTCTCATTACTTTCAAAATTTTGTTTAATATTAGTGTTTTATTAATATTAAGATTTTCTTCAGAGCATGATGTAAAAATAAAATATAATTTTTTTTTAAATCGGAACTAATTTGACATTTATCTACTACAGTTTCTGGAATAAACAAAGAATATTCATTGAAATAAATGAAAAATATTGAGATGTAATTTGTTTTCTAGCTTTTGTAAACTTTTCATCAATAAAAACATTTTATTTTAAAATGTTCTTGTATTCATTCTTTCACGCCTTTTCGAAGATTTTTCATATTATAGGGTAACTTCTGTATATATGTATCTATCAAAAATTTAATTTATTAAGTAATATTATTATATTTAAAATAAACGAAATATCAGTAAAAACTTTGTTCTGTCTACTAAATAAAAAATATTAGAGATTTCAAATATTTATTTTCTGTATTAAGAAATGAAAATTTTGAAATCCTTGCGTTTTTGTTGTATATCCCATAAGGGGGAAGAGGAGAGTATGTAAAGCATGAAAAATTTACAAATAATGCATATAAATAAGACATAAAATGATACAATAATTTATAAAATGTGTTTATAAAATTTTATTAAGGAATAAGAATGATAAATGTATAGTATCAAGTAATAAATAATAATTACAATCTTACATATACATATTATACATATATTACACTATAAGTATTATGAGGTATTATAGTAATGTTACAAGATACATATTTCATGTAATGCGTTTATTGCATATAGTGCACTGAATTCAATCTGCGCATTTTGTATGCTTTGGGCATAAATCCCGCTAAAAATGCCAAACAGGGATGTATAAGGCAAACTATAATAAATAAAGAATAAATAACGAAAGCAAAGCACTTGTATTTTGCTATACATGTTTTACTATTCTATTACATGTATGCATCACAAATTAAATCTTTTACACGCTCTACAGTAATAATTTTATGTAGATTATAATTTATGATGACGCTACTCATTACAATGATATCGATTCAATTCACAATAATTTCATTAATATAACAGTAAAAAGCTGAAATCATAACTTAATACTATTATATAACATAATATTATATAACATAAAGGCATTGGAACAAAATTATGGGAAAATTATCCCCTCTCCTTCTATTTTTTTTACTTCTACGGTGTAAATCCTAGCACGGCGTATTTGCTGGAGTTACCTTATTTAAGTTGTAAGCCAATTTCATTTATTTTGTATCACAAGATATATTAAATTCAATTTTTAT